AAATGCTGTCTGGCAAGCTGCACAGGCTGCATCTGCTGTTCCAGCGGAGGAAACATCTCTATCTGATGACAACTCACCTGCTGCTGAAACAGCTTCAGATGCTAGTGATAATGAGGCTGATGTTCGCCTTCATCCTAGAGCTGTATGTATATTGCAAGTCACATGTCTGAATGGTTTTCTAATTGTCCAGCCATAGTGTTCTAATGTTTTCTCTTCACAGGTTGTGGTTGCTAAAGAGGCTGTAGGGAACCTGGGTGGGATGGTTAGGCAGCTATCCTTGGATCAGTTTGAAAATGAGAGCAGACGGATGATCCCCTCTAATAATGACCTGTCCTATCCTACCAAAAAGTTTGCTAGACAGAAGTCTCCTCAAGGCTTGCATAAAAAGGCAAGCATTACCTGAATTTATTTGTTTTCCATTTAAATTTTTTTAAAAGCAGTTTAATATTTATATTTTTCTTGCAGGTTATTTCTACATTGCTTAGGCCCCGAAACTGGAAAGCTCCCGTTAATAGGAGGTTTTTCTTGGATTCTTATGAAGTGGGTGAGCTCTGTTATGCTGCTGAACAGATTTTTATGCAAGAACCCACAGTCCTTCAGTTAAAAGCTCCTGTAAAAGTCTTTGGTGACCTTCACGGACAGTTTGGTGATTTAATGCGGCTTTTTGATGAATACGGATTTCCTTCAACTGCAGGAGACATTACGTAAGTTTGATAGTCTTGCTACCCATGCGAGTTAGATAACCCCTAGTCATAGTTGAAACGTAAGACCTATGACTATTACTTCCTGTACCACTGGTTCTGCAAACTTTTTCCACAGTTGCTTATTCATTTGTGTTTTATTTTTTAGGTATATTGATTATCTGTTTCTAGGAGACTATGTTGATCGAGGACAGCACAGCTTGGAGACAATAACATTGCTTCTTGCTCTCAAGGCAAGCTTCTGGATCAAACAAGCCTTAGTTTGACTTTCAATGCAACCATGTGCTGTTTCTTAGTGGGTTTCCACTGTCTTGTTTGTTATGATTGTGCAGATTGAATATCCTGAAAATGTTCACTTGATTCGTGGAAACCATGAGGCTGCTGACATAAATGCGCTCTTTGGTTTTCGTATTGAATGCATCGAGAGAATGGTCTGGATGAGTATGCATATGTGGATTAAATATTTATTTTTCCAGATAAAATGTGCTAATTAATGTTCATTTACAGGGCGAGAATGATGGTATATGGGCATGGACACGGTTCAATCAACTATTCAACTATCTTCCACTTGCTGCGCTTATTGAAAAGAAAATTATCTGCATGCATGGTGGCATTGGAAGATCTATACATTCAGTGGAGCAGATAGAGAAACTTGAGCGGCCAATAACAATGGATGCAGGATCCATTATTTTAATGGACCTGTTATGGTATGCATTTTTTGAGTCTATTATTCCAATTGATATAAATTTTTCTGAGGATTAATTTTGACTGTCATTTGCCTATTCAGGTCTGATCCAACAGAAAATGATAGCATCGAAGGCTTGAGACCGAATGCCAGAGGTCCTGGTCTTGTCACTTTTGGGGTATGCATGTTATTGCTTTATGTGTAAAATAGTTGATTTTTTTTTTTTAAATGCATCAAGGCAAACCTTTATATCATGCATTTTAATTGGAAAAATATAACTGAGGAAAGGAAAGGGAAAAATGATCCATTTTAATGGATCTATATGACATTTCATATCATGCTAGGAATCTTTTAATTGAAAGTCAGCTCTACTTAAAATTGCTCGCGGCATGTATTGAAAGAGCTTGTGGCTTGTGCCGTAAGCTCCAAAACAAAAATGCTCACAGCGTGCCACGAGCTTCAACATTAGAAAATCCCAATTATATTTAAAAAGAAAAAGAAAGAGAATTTCAGCTTGTGTTGCTAGCAAACAAAAGAAGAAATAAAAAAACTGACGTTTAGGCCAGCTTTTATTTGCTCTAGCTTGCCTACAATAAAAGCTGACATGTAGGGAGAGTTAATTGTCTTTTATTTGTTTCTATCATTCTTATGTTTCTCTTCCTATCTTTCTTTGATGTGTTAAATATTCCTGTCAAAGGCCACACACTCAAGAGCTTCAAAATAAAATAATAGTTATACTTCAAAAACAAACAGGAGCATCAAAACATGCTTAAAGACAAAAAGTCAATTAAAAAAAAAATTTCATTGCTGTGTTTTCTTGTCTTTTGCACTTTTACTTTTGTAATTTTACTTTTAGCTACAAATTATAAATCATGACTTGAAATAAATCCTTGTTTTAAGAAAGATTTTTTTCCCCTTTTGCTTACCAAGGTAGTTTTCTTTTGAAACATAAATAATTCTTGTTTTGAGTTCTTCTAAAATCAAACAATTCATTTGTCTGCTTGAACATATAAATACATAAAAAAAAAAATCTTTTTCAATCAAAAAGCCTCATTTCATGAATGAAAATTTTTTCTTTTCTCATATTTAAATTAAAATAAATTCAAGTAGGGACAAGCAGCAAAAAAAAATTTAAATTTTCTATTTGAAATGCAAGAAAATAAAAATAAAAAAAAAAGAACAAACAAGAAATTATAAGAAGGAAAACTTACTTGCTCAAAAAAAAAAAAAAAACCTTGCCTTGAATTTTGATTTGCTTGGAATCTACATGAAGAAAATTATTTATAATAGCTTCATATTTATAAGGCATATAGAATCAAGTTTTTTATGAAAAAATATTAACTTTCCTTTTACGATTGGTATTTTAAGAATCTTATTTTATGGAAACTATATTGTTATATGATCCATCTAAATATTACACAAGACAGTAACATATTACTACCTAAAGCATTATTGACTAAGGTGTTACTGTGTAAGACACTACTACCCGAGGCATTATTACTTGAAGTGTTACTGTACAATTTATTATAGTACAAAATAAAACATTTACACTCTAAATTAATACATAAGAATTATTTTTAAGTAAAAATAATTCTTATCCGTGGGGCAAAATGAAGGTAATTGATTTTGGTTAATATTTATTTTTTAAAGAATTATTTTATAACGTAACATTGTATATAGAATAATGACCTAAACCCTTTACAAGTGAAGTTATACTTTACACAGAACAACTTGAACAAGTGAAACATTACTTCAAGTGGAACAACTACTTCATACGGATAGCAGTGCAAACAATTCAGAATAAGTGACAGGGTTCGCAAGTTGTTTTCATCTTGAGATGTTTCGGAGAGTTTAGCTTAATGGCTCAAATATGAAAGTAGATAAAAAGTTTTCTTTTAATCTTTTCCTTAAGTACAAGTGTTTCTCTCTTACTTTCTTCTCTTGTACTTGTTCACATTCACCTTTTTCCTTTAAATTGTTCTCATATAGCTTTGCCTATATACCTTTTCAATTTACTCTCTACTCAAGAATAAGTCTTATTATATTAGTAACAATCATAAAATCTATTATTTTAATAATCACATAATGAATTTCTAACCGTTACTAAACAATAAAAACTCAATAATGGTCACCTAATATTAAAGCCATTATTTATTAAGTGTATTAAAACTCATTCTTGAACAATTGCCATTTTTGACATTATATATATAACTTTCATAATTCATTTGAGTAACTTTTTAAAACAACTTTATTCTCACTCAGAGCTTCTCCTTCTATCTTCTCTCTAGTCATCTTATATGTTCTCTACCTATTCTTTTCTTGTTCTCTTCCACCTGTCACAACATTCATTACTTCAGAAACTGTTTTGATCTTTTTCTCCACCGCCTTTGGTACATCTTTGTTTGCAACGCTTCCTCTTCTTATTACAAGAACCCTTTTTACATATTTCTAGTTCACATAATGCATGTTTGAGTCGTGAGAACTTCCTCTAATCATGTGTGATTGAACATTTATTATACATACAGATGAACCTACAATTATTTATGTTGTCATGTGCAGCCTGATCGTGTGACGGACTTCTGTAAGAAAAACAAGCTACAGCTTATTATAAGGGCTCATGAATGTGTAATGGATGGGTTTGAACGATTTGCTCAGGGTCAATTGATTACTCTTTTTTCTGCAACAAACTATTGTGGTAAGTAAACTATATTGAAACACCTCCCATTGGTTGGGTATGTTTAACTGCTGAATCTGGTATGTGCACCCAGGTACTGCAAACAATGCTGGAGCTATATTGGTAGTTGGTAGGGGACTGGTTATAGTCCCAAAGTTAATTCATCCATTGCCACCTCCCATTCAGTCCCCAGAGACATCGCCAGAGCGTGTTGCAGATGACACATGGATGCAGGTAATGTATATAAAATTTTGATGTATAAAGCATACCTGTCACTGCATGTAAATTCATGTTTAATATGTTACTATTGCACTACAGGAGCTGAACATCCAAAGACCACCGACGCCAACTCGTGGTCGTCCTCAACCTGACCTCGATCGGAGCTCACTTGCATATATATGAATATGATGTCAGGAACTTGAGGATTTTTGTAATTTACAACAGTATGATGCAGTAGTCCCATGATCATGTGGGATGGTTGCTTCTTACCCAACTTAAGTTGCAAGAAGTATATATCAAACCACCTCCGTGCATGCATTAATGCTCATGTTGTATTTTGAAGATGCAAGTAGCACAATGCAGAAGATGGAGCCTTGTTTAGTGTACACATGCCTTGGGAGTTGTAGAAGATCTAGTTTTAAACCGGTGAGTACATACAGTTTAGTTCGTCAGAGGGTCAGTATAGCATTTTGCCATTGTGCAATACAGATAATTTATAGTCAGGGTTGGGGGAAGTTAATTTTTTATTTATTATTTATTTTTTTCTTCAGCATGTGCATTGTAACATAAATGGTGATACATCTAGGTCTTGCATGAAGCAATTTTTGATTTATGGATTTAACCATGTGCCACTGCCTGTGTAAACAATAAAAACTATTTATTTTTCAAGTATGTCATGCATTGACGAGCTTAACTGGTTACAAGGCCTTGAACAAATATATCAAGTACAACTACACCGGCATGGGAAAATGAAAAACCTAGGGAGTTGGGGGGAAAATGCGTGAGTGAGGGGAAATAACAGAGTGTTGCACATACTTATTGAAATTATTAGGGTCAGGAACCCATTTGATTTCGCTCATATTTGGTGTCTCCACAAATTCCATGGTGAATTCTCCCAACTTCTCTACCTTCCCTCTCTTGCCTGCCCTCAGCACCAGATTGTTCCTGTTGTAGGAAAAAATGCCATTCTCCATTCTAATAATGTCACCTGCCTCAAATGCATCACACTCCTCACCCCACAGCTGCAAGTGAACCGCCGCCGTCTTGTCCGCCGCAAGCGCCAAGCACATCTTATTTTGACCATCCGAGGTTATCTTGCCCTTGTCCAACAATATGAAGTGCGTGTTTATGTTGTTTTGAGCAGCTGGCACAATGTCTCTCAGCCACACCATCCTTTCCCTGCAATGTTTAACCCAAAAAATTCAAACTCATTCAATCATTTTTACAAACACCTAGCGCACACTCCATTACCTTCTTAGACCTTTTCTACGGGCATCCGCCTCCTTGCCTTCTGGGTTGTAACGGGAGAAGTTATGTTTTTTGTTAAATCGCCCAATACTGTGACCATCTCAGCAGAGAATCACAAATCAGGGCAATGGAGTAATAATAAATTAGTATCGATTCCCATGGAAATAATAACTCATTAAAGAATTGCTTATAAGGAACCATAATTACCTTTTTACCCTTATCTTGAGAGGGAAGATCAGAAACGGGAAATAGAGAGCAAAGGGTGAGGATCGTGCCGAAGCTCGCGAACCCACCGGAATTACTGCTGACGCCGGTGAAAGTTGGATGAAAGAAATAATAAAAAAAGAGAAAGAAATTGGACAAAAGGATTAAATATGGGCAATTTTTGGAAGCGTCTTCGTCCCTCTCTTCTCTGTTTTGTGAAACTCAGGGATAATTAAGTAATTTGCTTTTCCCTATCGAGCAATCATGAAAGTTTCAACGCTCGTTTCTCAATAAATATTTATCTCCATTGCAGTTGACTATACATATTTTGACTCCTTCACTTCAATTTGTTATTCCCCAAAGCTTAAGCCTTGTTGGCTTCTTAAAAAGCCAAAAAAAAAAGGGAAAAAAAAAAAAAGAAAGAAAGCAAGCACCTATCAAAAGCTACGCAACCATGAAAGATAAATACAAAATACGTGATATGAAACGGAATTGGAATTTGCTGAGCTATAGAAACAGGAATGAGTAAAGAGAGCAAGAAACTGCACAAATGCTAGAGCAAAATTCCATCCTACCCTTTCATTGCTAAGAAAGAGATTTACACATGTAAAACCATACTTTCATCACATGCTATCAACAATACCCAACCCACCAACATGACCCACTATGCTACTATACCCTCCCCCTCTAAAATTCCTGAGAAGCGGAACCGACCTCGCCCTTTCCTTTCCCAGCCTTCTTAGGCAGTAGATTCTGATGAATATTTGGCAAAACCCCTCCATTCGCTATCGTCACACCTCCCAACAGCTTGCTCAATTCTTCATCGTTTCTCACAGCCAACTGAATATGCCTTGGAACAATTCGGTTCTTCTTGTTGTCCCTCGCAGCGTTCCCAGCCAACTCCAAAACCTGTAAAATTAGAAAAATCCCACACAGATCAGTCAACGACCTCGCGAGAATTTAAAAAGTTTTACCCAGAAATTATAGAGAATTTTCGATTTTACAAACCTCAGCCGCGAGATATTCAAGGACAGCGGAAAGATAGACGGGAGAGCCAGATCCAACACGCTCGGCATATCGTCCTTTCTTGAGGAAGCGAGCGACACGGCCGACAGGGAACTGGAGACCCGCTTTGCTAGACTTGGAAACCGCTTTAGCCTTTGGCTTGCCTCGGCCTCCCTTTGGTGTTGCCACAGAGCTCATGATTGCAAGAGCCTTTTTCTTTATGAGGAGAAACTAGTGATACAGAGAAGGTATCTGGAATTTTGAAAATGCTTTTGGTGGCAGATGTAGGAATTTGCATTCTGGGCGTTGGGAATATATAGAAGGGAGAAGGTGCGTTTTGGTTGGTTGTTTGGGTTTCACGCGGATCGCCAAAGTGGCTGCCACTTTCAGCACGCAGATTTCCAACGTGGAGGGAGTGAGTGAAGTGCGTTCTCATTGGTTGGGTTTGAATTCACTTGGATGCCCACGTGGAAACCTATCTTTTTGGTGGGACTGAAGTTTTCTAATTTGGCGGGAAGTAAAATGTTTTGCTACATGGTTTACTCCTTTTAGCTGCTAATTTCACGTTAGTCTTGATTCTTGGGATGGGCTATATTTGGGCTCGTAGTTGAAAATGAGGCTCAAACTCAATCCATCGTGGACTCTCCCTTTCACAACTCACAACAGCCCAATTTAATGGATAATATTAATTCATAATGGTGTTTCATCTTTTTTTTTTCTTTTTATAGTACTATATTAAGATGCTTTATTTGAAAACCCAATTTTTTTTTATTTTTCATCATTTAATATTATGAGTACTGCTTATGGGTATTTTTTATTTTATGCTATTTTTCATAATTTAATTTTATTACAGTACTTATCATGCTTCTGTATGTAGGGAAAAAAGAAGAGACCAACTTTATTTGAGCAAAAATTAATGAATACCGACGCAAATGATGAGATATTAGTGTCAATTGGTGATGATGGCCCGTAGCTTGCCTATTTGCTGATATGAATCGGAATTGGAGTTGTAGCTATATCACCAACCTATGTCCAATTTGTTCCAATAAGTGATGGAATTCATTAAGAATCCCAAATCCCATGATCCAACAATTGGAATCCTTGGAAATTAGTCATTTTTACTTGGCCCAAAAATAGAAAGAGTATGTTTTTCCGAATTAAATTCATTGGTAGGTAGTAGGGCACTGCTTAGAATATACATTAGCAAGGCCAAATTGAACTCCAATAAGCTATGAATTTTCTCATTTCATTGAAACATGAAAGGATCATCAGCCAAGAAGCTAGAATGGAAGAAACAGGAATTGGAACTATAAATTATCAAATTTTGAAACGCAAGGCAGCTAACACTGAAAAAACCAAAATCCCAATTCATTTTGGGCTGCCAAATTTGATCCTCAAAGTATATGCGGATGAGTGAGTCAAGAAGGCAATGTTTTTCCTAAGAACCGGAGGTAATGCTTGGTTGGGAGCAGAAACACACTCTCTCTTCGCGCTCTCTCTGACCAAGCAAGTAACACCATCCACATTATACAGTGAAAAATTTACTGAACGATCTGTACAGGTTTCAAAATTACAGCAAAGAAAAAACAAAACAGGCAATCCATCCGCCAGTCAAGCTCGTTCCTTCTCACAACACAAAGGCTGAACCAGAGGAGGGGGATTCTTAAAACAATCAGATTTCAAAGGAACCACACCTTTGAGACTCCTCTCATTAGCTTTAGCTCCATGAGCAATCAACAACAAAGCAACTTGAACATGTCCTGCCTCCACTGCACAATGCAACGGTGTGTACCCATTGTCATCAACAAGGTTAGCCTTAGCACCATGGTTAAGCAAAGCCTTAACACTCTCGATTCGACCTTTAAATGCAGCCCTATGCAAAGGTGTCCATCCATTCTGATCTTTCCCATTCACATTTCCTCCTTCCGCAAGGCAACTCTTTATCCCATTAACATTATCAATCCTCGCAGCACGGTTCAAAGCATCACCTAACTGCAACAAATCATACAAATTTGAATGCCCATTTTCAACGGCAAGTGCAAAAGCAGTCTTCCCTTGTTTGTTCAAGGCGTACTTAACAAAACTTGAAGCCTCTAACAAGCATTCCGCAGCATCTAAATGACCTTCCTGGGCAGCCAAATGAAGTGGAGTACATCTATTAACATCTAAAACTTCAGGGTTCCCTCCAACTGATAAGCAAAACCGAATCACATCAGTATAACCGTAACTTGCGGCTATGTGAATTGGAGTTCTATCACAAAAGTCAACAGAATTCAAGTCCACATTTTTACAAGCTCGAAATAAGACCTCCATCAAATCTACTCTATTTATTGCTGCTGCATGGTGCAAAACGTGATCAACTGAATTGTCAATTTCACAACCAGACGAAATCAAGACATTGAGAACTTCAAGATGTCCAGCTTGAACAGCAAGGGAGATCAAGGACCTTCCCTTAGAATCTTTATCATTAACATCTCCACCATGATCAATCAGGGTACCAACCAACTTAGCTTTCCCTGAAACGACAGCAGATTTGAGTAAGCCTGTGAGCTGATTCACAGGACACCCAGAAATTGCTTTGTTCAAAAAGAGATCAATTTCCGCAATCTGGGTATGGCTAGAAACGAGATGTTCAATCACATGGGGACCCACAAAGGAGATCGGTAAAGTAGCGTCCTTGAATAAGTGGGGTCCAGGCTTGGAGAACAGGCGGCTGAGATCATCATGATGGGCCGTTCCTAGAGGGAGCATGATGGTTTTGACGGTGATGGCATCAGGAGGATTGGTCAGAGGGGGTTGATCAGACGGCGGGGAGAGAAGGAGAGTGTAGGATGAAGATGAGAGGGGTGGGATGATGGAAAAAGGCTTGTTAAAAGAGAAGAAGGATGGGTTTTTGGTGGTTAAAGAAACCGCCACGGACATTGTATGCATGAGATTTGTTAAACGGAAAGTTGTGGTGTTCCTTTGACCTCTCTTGAAGACTAATTCTACTTCTTTCACATCCGCTTTCACTAACCTGTCCATTGAATAGCTAACTCCAGCCTCTTTCCCTGGAAAGCTTGAGACTTTGGCGGTTGTTTTGGTTGCAGAAGAAAATGAAAAACAGAAAGAAAGAAAGATGCCTTTTTTCTTCTTTGTTTTCTTTTATTGTTTTAAGTTGTCTGATTAAGGAATTAATTTAATGTCGACGTGTTGGTTTGGGTTTGGGGAGGGTGTGAAAATGGAGCAGGTAATAAGGCAAGACTTTGAGAATTAGAGGCAGGAAGGAGTCAGCGTGGCTTTGCAATAGTTTGAACAAAGGAGCATCCTTGAAGGCTTGCAGGAGCAGGACAAAGGGCCACTTTTCCTGATTGATGACAGACCAACCACCACCTCAACTTGACAATTAGTGTGACCATGACATTTTCAAGCCGAGACTAGCCTTTCCGGTTGAACCAATAGGAACAAGCATCTGACTGTTATGCTTGGTCTTTGTTTCTAAAATATATCTCCATGAGGAGTAATCAGTCGTTAGATGGGATTTTTAAGAATAAACTTGGATTCCAATTATAATAGTATGGGGTAGGGCTGAAACCGTACGTTTGCATTTCTAATACTAATGGTCATGGTCACATCAGTTTCCACTATATCTACTCAACGTGGAATAAAATATTTTGCTGCTGATGAATTGAGGTCGAGGAATCCCTAAACTCTTTTTCTGCATTGATTGGGAAAAGATAATGAAGTTTTCCATTACTTTATTAAATACCGGAGAGGAATGAAAGTATTATAGGGGAGGACTTAGTTAAGCATAGCATTCCCCATGAATATGATGCAACAACATTTGACCTTGTCTGCTTACTCTGATTAGAATTGAGAATACTTGTTCTTAAGAAGATGGTAACAAATCTCGTGGAGGATCCAGTGACAGTAACTTTGCCCATTTGACTATTCCACCTCGTCTGTTTTCCATGGGCAAACTCTTGAATGCTTGTAGCAAATAAACGACATTCCTCTATTATTTTTTTATTTTATTACTGCATGTCGCCACTGGTTGTTAGTTTTATGTAATCCGTCTTTTCCAAGCCTTTGTGTTACACTGCTAAATGCAGATTAACTTGTGTCTTAACTGTTTATTAACGGTAGATGAGAAGAATAAATTCAACATGTTGTCCCCTAGGGCTTTACTTGGAAAGTAACAGCTTTGTCCAAATCTTTAATGGATTACTCCCTCCCATGATTTCAACATTGAGAAAATGCAAGTGTTGAACTTT